CCCTCCCTTGATGCTCCACCCGTTTCCTTCTTCCGTCTAACCCGCTCTCCCCTCGACAGCCGAAACCACTCACCCCACTCTCATCATTCAACCCCGCGCACCGCCGGCGCCTACGCTCTCTCTCTCTCTCTCTCTCTCTCTCTCTCCTGTTCCCTCCTTCACTCTTCGTCACTCTCCATCCCTCACCATGGTACAATCGAGACTGTGCTTGTGGGCCCGGTCCTCTACGCTTCATCCACAATAGACGGCGCCTAACACGCAAACACACTCCAGACCTACAGCGTCATAGTTCCACCCAACGCCAACTCCCGCCAGACCTACTTCCTCATACTTGCTACTTCAGCCCTCGGGTTCGCCGAAGGAGAATTGCCAGACCTACTCCCTCCTCCTTGCTACTTCAGCCCTCGGGTTCGCCGAAGCGAATCGCCTCCACTGCTGTGTTGCCAGGTGATCGACCCTACTACGGTACTCCCAAGGGAAGGTGGTTGTCGGACACTCCCCCCTCTTCCTTCTCTTCCTTTGCGTGTACAACCCCGCGTCTTCCCCGCTTCCAACTCTCACTACCACAACTCCGGACATACCCACTCTCTCTCTCTTGGATTTCTTGCAGGTATCTAGCCGATATTTCGACCCGATTCCGTCGAAAAACCACTGGAGTACGAGCCCCTTTCTCTCACTACCACAACTCCGGACATACCCACTCTCTCTTGGATTTCTTGCACGTATCTAGCCGATATTTCGACCGGATTCCGTTCCGTCGCAAAACCACTGGCGATTGTAAACATGGCGAGTCGAAAAACCACTAAACGCTTTCTACTTCACTATACATTCTTCCATTTGCCTGGTCGTGGAGCTAACTACCGGTCGTAGGCCCTCAGAGTGAGGGAGGTCAAAAAAAAAAAAAAAAAAAAAAAAAAGAGTGAGGAGCAGAGCAGTGATGCCATTACGCCATAACTCCCGGGCCGAGGTCCCACTAGCAAAAAGGATAGGATCGAGCTCCTGAATCTGGATTTGTTTTGTGCAGAGATGCAGAAACGCAGTTCCATCTCCATTTCCTGCACATCCCCATAACCTCGTCCAGATTCACGCATTCGATCCGATCCACTTTGCTAGTGGGACCACGCCCCCGGGCCTTTTCTGCCGCAGGGAGCCAGAGGTGAGCAGACGAAGCGGAGTGCGGTGGAGGGAAGCGTACAGGTAGCCGTGGGGCACGAGCCACCCGCCCTTACAGAGGAACAGAGCCACCGTGTGCGGCTACAGTAGTTGCACTACTCGCCATCCGCCAACATTTCGGATGCATCTGGACTGATATGCTTCCAGTTGCATTCAAACTGTTGGCGGATGGCGAGTAGTGCAACTAGCCGCGCACAGAGGTGGAAGAGAGGCAGAGAAGCAAGCAGGTCGGAGAAAGAACCGCGATAGCCAGAATGCAGTAAAGAAGGAATAAAATCAATAAATAAATAAATAAATAACTTAGCCACCACACCATGGAGTGAACAAGGCGGGTTTGTTCCTTTTTTTTTTTTTTTTTTTTTT